CGATGAGCTTCTCCTTCACTTCTTCTTCTTCTTCGCCTGCAGCCTCTCGTCATTCCCTCCCATATAACAACACTCATCCCCCTCGTTCACATATCTCTCCTCCTCCCCCTTGCACTCAAACAAACACAAACACACACATACGCTCCTCCCTCCACTTCCCCCTCCCTCTCCTATCCTCCTCCTCCCTCCTCTCCCATCCTCCTCCTCCCTCCTCTCCCATCCTCCTCCTCCCTCCTCTCCCATCCTCCTCCTCCCTCCTCTCCCATCTTCCTCCTCCCTCCTCTCCCATCCTCCTCAATCTCCCCTCTCTCTCCCACTTCCTTCCTCTGCCTTGTCTTCACCTGCAAGTTCGCCTCCTCCTTGCTGCCTCCCCGCGAGCTCACAACCTCCACGCTGTCCATCTGCTTTCTCAGCACAAACTCTTCCGCAAACGACCTGGCGCTTCGTCAGCACGTGGCGTGCAGAGAGTGCAGGAGGAAGGAAGAGGAGAGCGGCGGGGAGGAGAGAAGGCGGGGTGAAGGGATGAAGGGCGAGAGAGGAGGGAGGAGAGCAGATTGGAGTGAAGAGAAGAGGGGGGAGGACGGAGGAAGAGCAGAGGGGGGGGAACTGGAGTGCAAGTGGGGGAGAGGAGGGGAGGAGGATGATGGGAGGAGCAAAGGAGGGCAGAAGCTGGCTGGCAGAGGAGGGGAGGAGCAGCGATTTACCTGCCCTTGGGCCCGAGGTATTCTTCGACGTACTCCTGGACGTCAGACGACGAGTGGAGGGACATGAGAAATTCTCCCAGCGTCGTGTCGTCACTCCCGGTCAGCTTCTCGAGCTCCTTGAAGCACCACTTGGAGAAGCTATCCCCTTCCTTCCCCTTCCCTCCCTTCCCCTTTCCCCCCTCCTTCCCCGTGTCCTTGCTCGTCGCCGACGTCGCCGCCGCCTTGTCCGGCTTCCCCTTGAAGTCCCAGAAGAGGTCGTCCTCGTCCTCGTCTTCCTGCCTACCTGCCCCCTGTGAGCTGCTCACTGCGGGAGCGGCAGGAGGAGGCACGCTGGGCTTGACACCTCCTGCCTTGTTGCTCCACACGCCTCCTCCACCGCCCGCCTGCTCCACCTGAGGAGGAGCATCCAGCCCTGCCGGCCGCGCTGCCGCCTTGCTCGCCCATGCTCCCGACGGGAGCGAAGAGCTGCCGCTGCCCATCGACTCCTCCTCCCTCCTCTTCCTCTGCAGCTCTGCCTCCCTCTGTGCTCGGGCTGCCTCCTCCTCCTGGATTTGCGCCAGCGACTTCACCGGCATCGCTCCCTTCCCCCACGCGCCAGACGCAGCAGCCTGAGCGCTGATGGGCTGCGAGCGGAGCCCCTCCTGCACCTCTGCCTGCTTCCTTGCCATCTTCTCCTGCTTCTCCCTCATCTCCTGCTCCTGGATCTCTGCTAGCGACAGCGGCCTGTTCTTTCCCCCTGGCCCTCCCTTGCTCCATCCTGCTGACTGCTCCTTAGGCCACTGACCTCGCGAGCTCTCCGCTGCCTCCTGCTGCTTCTTCGCCTTCAAAGCCCTCTGCTTCTCCTCCTCCTGTGCTCGCATCACCTCCTCCAACGCCTTCGCGTCTGCTTGTGCTCGCATCCTCGCAACCTGCGCATGGGCCGAGTTGCTCTGTGAGAGGTCTGCCGCTGCCGCCGCTTGCTCGGTCCTCGCCATCGCTCCTCCTCCTCTCGCTCCTCCCTTCGCCTTCTCCTGCGGAGCAGAAGTGCCGGTTGCCCATGACGATCCCAGGCTGGGGAATTCGCTGTTGGGAGTCACTTTACTCGCGCCTTTGTCTACTTGCTGCTTGGCCGCTGCCCTCGCCTCCTCCTCCATGACCTCCTGCAGCGACGGAGGCTTTACAGCCCCTCCCCACGGTCCTCCTGCTCCGAGCTCGGGCTCGTTCTTCCTTGCCTGAGCTTGAAGTTTGCGCTGTCTCTCCTGCTCCTCCTTCCTCCTCCTCGCCTCCCTCTCCTCCTCCTCCATGACCTCCTGCAGCGACGGAGGCTTTACAGCCCCTCCCCACGCCCCCCCTGCTCCGAGCTCGGGCTCGTTCTTCCTGGACTCAGCCTGGAGCTTCCTCTGTCTCTCTTCCTCCTGCATCCTCCTCCTCGCCTCCCTCTCCTCCTCCTCCATGACTTCCTGCATGGACTTGACCTGCTTTTGCGCCTGCTGTGCCGCAGCCCAGGGGGCTTGTGACGGGGCAGGAGCGCTCCCCTTCCCGCTCATGTCGGTCGTCTTGGCTGTGACTTCAACTTTCATCTGAGCCTCAGCCTCCAGCGCCGCCAGTGCCTTCGCTTCTGCCAGCGCTTTGAGCCTTGCCGTCTGAGCATGGACCGAGTTTCCTTCGGCAGGAGGGGCGAAACCTCTTCCCCTCCCCCTCCCCACGGCTGGGGCTTGCCTCTCAAGCTCTCGCTGCTGCTAGGAGGGGAGTGAGCAGGGAGCACAGAGCTAGTGGGGATGCTCACCTTCTGCCTCATCATCTCCCGCTCGCTCTCCTGCTGCGCCGTCCTCTTCGCCTCCTCCTCACGTCTCTGAGCCTCCATTCGAGCTCGGGCCTCCTCGGCCCGCCTCTCTTCCATCATCCTCTCCGCCCGCTGGGCCTCCTCAAACCTCCGCATCTCCTCTCGTCGTGACGATTCCTCCGCTAACCTCCTCTCCTCCAACTGCTTCGCCTCCTCGTTGCGCATGTTGAGCTGCATCAGGCCGTCAGCCCCGCACCCCCGACCCTCCTCACCTTCACCTTAGGCCAGGCAGCCATCGCGTCGCCCTGGGCAACTTTGTCGACAGGGGACGAGAACTCTTTCATCGGGTCGATGTCCACCAGCTCCAGCTGCTTGCTCGGCACAGCCACCATGCGGGTCGCCCCTGCCGTCGGCATCTGCCATGCGAAGTTGACGGGAGGCTGCGGCATCTCCTTCACACCCCCGGGTGCGGAAGGGCCCATCGAGACTCCGGCAGTCTTGGGGGGCATGACCGGCTGTACGGGCCGCATGCCGGCGACGATGGCTGCCTTGACAATGTCGGGCGGAGTGTCAGGGGGAAGTCCAAGAGACTCTGGGGGAGGAAGTCCCATGAGCCCGAAGGAGCCAGCGACATTGATCTGGTTGCCCATCCCTACGATGGCTGGATCTCTATCCTGGCCCAGGTCGCTGGGAGCTGGAGGCAAGGAGGAGGAGGGGGGGAGGGCGTCGCTGGCGGTCAGGATCCCAGGACCTTGGGGGGAGAATTCAGCAGGAGGGTCAGAGGAGGGAAGAAACTTACCAGGAGCCATCATAGGGAATGCCATCGAGTCCTGGGGTCGCCCAGCGGGAGGGGCTCCGGGGGCGCTCCTGGGGATGCCTGTACGGCGAGTCAAGCAGGAGCAGGGCAGCCGTCGGTCTGTCTCACCTCGTCCGAAGCCTCGCCCGGCTCCGGGGAGGGAGGAGAAGGAGTTCTGCTGAGCCTGGAGGGTGGGTGCAGGAGCAGACACAGCTGTAGATGCTGCTGGGACTTGGCCAGGTGCTGAGACTGGAGACGGAGCAGGAGCAGGGGAAGGAGCTGAGGGAGCGGAGGGGCCGGTGCTTACCCTGAGCCCCTGGAACTGACCTCCCATCCTCTCTGCCTCACCCCCAAAGGGCAACATGGGCATGGGACCGTTGGCGTCTGCTGAGCCTTCAGCTCGTTGAGAGCACAGGAACTTCAGGTACCTGTCGTCCTTTTGGGGTCCGGTGCCGACATCTTGGTCGGCTCGTTGATAATCGGGGGAGGCCTCCTATCAGGTGCAGCGTCCGGCATGCTCCGCTGCTGCCTTAGTCGAAGCCTCTCCTCCTCTACCAGCCGCTCCAGCTGCGCTGTGTCTCTGGAGAGCGAGGCAAGGGGGTCCAACTGCTCCTTGGAGGTGGGAGGGGCCATCTCAAGGCTGTCGTTGTCTTGCTGCATCCTCCTGACCGGCACAACCTTCACTTCACCCGTCCTCAGGTCCACCGCGTCACACAGAGCGATGTACTCGCTGCTGTCCACGTGCCTAACCTGCGGCGGGAGCTCACCGATCCCGTCTGCTCTCGGGAGGTCGCAGTCAGGGAGGTATCGTACCTGCATGTTGGCCGTGAACAGTCCTGCCTTGTGCCACTCCAACAGCTTCACGACGTTGCAGGGCCCCTGGACGTTGCCAATAGCATCCTACGTGCAGTCAGGTCAGCTGGCATCGGGCATGGCGCGGGGTTACCTTGTAATACCAGCATTCGACCTGCTGCAAGCTCGCCGCCGGGTAACCCCTCCCCCATGGGGGGCCGATAGGACCCCCTCGTCCTCCTCCATAGCCCATCGGCCCTCCTCGACCTGCAAACCCTCCCCCAAAGGGCCCTTGCTGCCTGTACGCCGCTGGCACTGGCCCTCCGAACCCCTCCATGTCCTCGCGTCTTCCCCTCCCGAAGGGTTTCAGCTGCGGGTCTTTGCGAGCTGGAGGATGCACGTTCCGAAGAGGAGGCATCGGGCCGGACAGGACGACTGGCTGCAGCGCATCCTTGCTGTAGAAGCCGTGGGGTAGTCCCTCGCCCTTGAAGCGAGCACCTCGCGAAGTCCTTGGCCGCAATGCCATGAGCTCCTCCTTTGAGTAGACGAGTTGCCTGATCAGTAGACGTCACATCCCGACCCGTCACAACACGAAGGCTTGAACTCGCTATTGCCAATCCCATCCCATCCCTCCCCTTCCACACCTTCCCTCCCCTCTCCTCCTCTTTCATCCCCCCCTCCCTTCCCCTCTCGATCTCACCTTGGCGAGTCAAGTCCATTCCTGTCAACGTCACTCGCTCCACTCAGATCTAACGAGTGTTGCCCCACTTCCTGCGGACGACATGCACATCACAAGACCGCCGAGACCCCTACGGGGTCAGAACGCAACAAGTGTACCTTCGAAGTCATTCCGCCTTGTCTTGCCATAGCAAATCCACTGAAAGGAAATCAGAACAAATCATCGCAGAATCTCCATGATAAACAAGATCCTGATCGCTGATCCCCCCATGCTAACAGGGGACTGCTGCTGATACAAAAGATGACTGCAGCACAACGGGCCTCTAGAGCCCCTTCACTACTTCTCTGTTCTTCCTTCTCTGGATAGCATTGCACCATCGTCCTTCTCATTATCTTCACCGAATGTTCCATTCCGGACTACCAAGCTTCCATCGCCACACATCAGCAGCACTGCAGCATTCATGAACCTATCCCTTCGCATCCCCTCTGGTCTCCTTCAATCGACCTTCCTCTGCCTTTCTCTCTCCCTTCCTCTCTGAAGTCTCCCAGTCATGGTCCCTCGCTCCTCTTCCTCTGCTTCCTCCCCTTGCTCGTCCTCGTCCTCCTTCTCTCCCCTCCCCGCGTTGCCATTCCCAAATTCATGAGCGGCATCATTGCAGGACACCCCACCCCTCGTACAGCCACAAATTTCCTCACCCCCCACCATCCTTTGTCAATTTAGTGACCAAATGTTAAAATATTGTTTCAAATTGTTACCTAAAACTTCAAATTTTTGTATAAATATTGTAAATTATGAATTTTTGAATCCATCGCCCTCAATTGTGATTTGTACCCCTACCCCCCGGGGACAAGTGCGCGTGGCGCCGTTTTTTTTCTGGAAACTCTCTGCATAACGTTTTGTAACGTTTTATAACGACGAGGTCCTTGTGTGTGGTTGGCCCGACGCGAGCCTGTCGCCATGGCAGTGGTGAGGCTGCTCCAGAATGAGTTCGCGCAGGTGGAGGAGGAGCTGGGCAAGGTGAGCTGAGAGGAGCGCGAAGAGGAGGGTGGTAGAGAGGAATTCAGGGGAGGGAGGAGGGAGTGAGCTGCAAGAACAGCCTGTTGCACGTAGGCGAGATCCGAGAGTGGGCAAATTCAGTACTTTGTTGCTTCCAGAGCAAGGAAGGGAAGGGAGGACGAAAACCGGCATAGAACGAGGACATTGGGTGAAACTGGTTCGACTGCTCCAACCAAGAATCTCGGCAGAGCGAGAGGGGAGGGGGTGCGGGGGTTGTGTTTTGCTTCCTTGGAGCACACTTAGGTCACTGAGCAGGATACCCAGCGGGTTGCACGAGCGACCCTCCTGTATGCTCAGATCGCGTTCGCCAGGTCCATCTTGTCCTTGGACACAGGGGATGCAGAGGAGGCCCTGACGAGATGCTGGGATGCCGACAAGCAAGTCAACGACATGACGAGCGCGTCAGGCGTGTTTGGTTCGCTCCTGGGCATGGTGGGCACAGACAAGGGAGGCGTGGATCACGATGAGGAGCTGAACCGGATCCTGATCCGTGCTGATGCACATCTGATGGGTGCGATGATGCAGCTGATACTCGGCCGTTACCTGAGGGCGGGGTGGAACTTCAGGGCGGGGTGGAACTTGTACCATAAGGCAGCCCATGGCATGGAATCGCATCCCGACCAAGTATCCGATGCGATCAAGTGCATCATCGACTTTGGGATCGGCATGTTCAACCTCATCGTCTCCATGCTTCCTTCTACGCTGCTCACCATCGCTGAGCTCGCCGGGTTGTGCGACTTGCGCTTGTTCTGTTCCCTGCCCGTGTTGTGACACGTCAGCATTCAGGTACGACGGGAACATAGACCATGCAAAGCTTCGGTTGAAGCGCTCATACGAGATGAATCAGGTAGTGGTAGAGGTTTCCAAGGTGCAGGCTGATGACAATCAGGACTGGTCGCCCTTTTCCTGCCTCCTCCTCCTCTTCTACCACACCCAGCTTGTACCCAACATCGGGTTGGAAGTCTCGCAGGTGTTCAGTGGTTGTGCCCCGCGCAATCGCTCGGCTGACAATGTTGCAATGCAACTTGATGACCAGAACAAGTCCGAGGTCGAGGAGATCCTGGGCAGTGAAGTAGCAAGAAAGCATGAGGGTTCCGCGCTGTTTCAATGGATGCGGGGTACCAGCGAAATGCTGCACCAGAGAAATCCAACGGAGGGGATCAGCATCTTGAACAAGGTCAGGAAGAGCTCTGGTTGACTCCCTCCTGTGACCTTCGCCTTCGTGCCAGGCTAGGGGGAACGCGCAGGAGCTTCCTGCTCTGCAAACCTACATCTCGTACGACATTGCCTGGGCGCATATGGAGGCGTTTGAGTGGCAGGTGCTATGACCAACTAGCCCGGCGGCTCCTCACTCACATTATACTCAGAGTGCAGCTGAGAGCCTGGAAGCGCTGATCCAGGCGAACAAGGATGCACAGTGTTGGAACTCACTGTACTCGTATCAAGCTGGACTCTGTCTACTACTGAGCAGCTCGGAGGTTGCTGGGCTCGGCGAGCATCACCGCTGAGCTGATCGATGTGCAGGAGAAGGGGAAGAGGATGCTCGAAGAGGTCGAGAAGCATCTCGACAACGCCGCTGGCAAGGAGAAACTGCAAGTGTGGGGACCTGAGCGATACGCACACGAAATGGCTGGTCGGCTCCTCAAGCGTGCCACGAGGTGACAACCTGCCAGCTCTTGCTCCCTCCTGCTCACGTTGCTGGTTGTCCGACGCCAGGGAGGAGGCAGCAGCAGCCTTCCTAGAGTTGCTCGTTGTCTACGATCGTATGCGATGCCTCTCGGACACACTCCTGCAGCGTGCGTTGGAGATGGCGACAGCGGGGCAGAAGGAGGGATGGGAGCGAGCAAGGTCCCTGTCCACCCTCAGTGCCATACATCTCTTGTCTGGACGCATAGACGAGAGTAAGGTTGCCTTCGACGAGCTTGTATGCATGGACGACATATCTAACGGTACCACCATGCGCTTGCTGGGGTTCTCGAGTGAAAGGTGATTGTGCAGAGGAGAACATCTCTACAGGACACTACAAGGCCTTTGCTCTCTATCTTCGTGCAAGGCATCTCAAGAAGGAAGGGAAGACGAGCGAGTCCAACGAGGTATATCGCCTCGTATCCCTGGCGGCCGTTGACCTCTGCGCAGCTACTGAGGACTGCAGGGACTTTCTCTAACGCACACATGGGCCAGATTTTAGCATTCAAGATCCATGCTATGTGGTAAAAGATGCATGTTCTCGACTCTGAGTGAATCTCTTGCCATGGTTACAAGATGTTTCCTGATCTCTGGTAATAAATATCCACAAGTTATCTTACTTTCCTCCCTGGAACTAAAAAGGATCGCAACCAGGAGAAGGTTTACTGTCTTTTGTCCCGCAATGCATTTACCTTACCATCAGAGTCAGCTCCTGCTGCTGTTGCTCCTCCAAGCCTCCTCTTACCGGTTGCGGGAGTAGAAGTAGTCCCACTGGTCGCGAGCGCGCCTCCAGTCGTCGTAGGCAGCCCAGTTGTTGGCCTGGTAGTAGGTGTCCTCGGCCTTCTTGTAGTAGAAGCGAGCAGTCTTCTGGTAGTCACCAGCCTGTTCACGAAGAATCAGCATACAATCCCAGCATCAGCGGGAGCGGCCGTGATCCGTACCTGAGTGTAAAGGGCGGCAGCCTTCTTTCCGTACAAGGTCTCGAACTAGGGATCCAAGTCATTGAAGAGACGACCAGTAAGAGTGAAGGGGGATACGAGAGGAGGACAACATGCAGGAAATCAATTCAAACATGGAAGGACGTTGCAGGGAAACAACAACACTAACAACGGTTGCGGCAAGGACGGCAGACGGGAACTTGACAAACAACAGAAATTGAGCATGAACAGCGACAGTCGTCTTTAAAAGCATCGACCATGTTCTCAAAAGTACGGAGAGAAAATCAGCAGAAGGGAGGGGGAGCAGAGCAAGCGCAAGCGCGGCGACATAGGAACAGCACTGCATGTACCATGGTGAGGTGTTGGCTGTTCTATTTCGGGGAAGGTAAATGAAGAAAGAACCTCCGTGGGTGGGGGTAATTGGAATCCTTGTACTACCCCCTAATCTACGTCAAATTTGTTTCTTGGATGGGGTAGGGTAGAGAAAAAGATGGAGGGTGGGGTGGAGTAAGGTCCTAGGAAGACATAGGCTGATATGGCTGACTTGAGAGGACCTAAGATTCCGCCTAGGACCTTTCTGGGCCTGAGGGGGGATGAGCCTTCAGAGTCTTTTAGTGTTTCAATCCGAGCCAAGGCCACCCCGGAACCGGGCCGCAAATTAATCCATAAATTTCAAAAGATGACCTAATATTTTAAATTATCCAGATCAAAAGTCCAAATATGCAGGAAGATGACTCATCAACGAAGCCTGGAAGGAGTGTTGAACCCTACCCCTCAGTTGAATGATACTCATAGTACCCCTCATTTGTACTATTTTCATGCTCTTGAGTAGGGGTAGAAAAATTAGAAGAGGGGTAGGGTGAGGGTAAACGGGCTAGATGGATATGTGTGATATTATGGGAGGGAAATGGCGAAGTCAGAGGTGGATCAGGAGCAGGAGCAGGAGCAGGAGCAGGAGCAGGAGCAGGAGCAGGAGCAGGAGCAGGAGCAGGAATATGACAAGGATCAGTAGGAGAAGGAACAGGAGCAGGAATATATCTGCAGGAGCAGGAGTAATTGTATCCAGCGTACCAAGCAGTTTTGAGTCGGAAGAATTATGGCTTTAATCATCACCAGTAGAGCACAGTAGTTGGCACCTGACAAACAGCCTTATTTCTCCTTGTTCTTACTCCTCCTTGTTCTTTCTCCTCCTTGTTCTTACTCCTCCTTGTTCTCAGCTCTGTCAGCTAGACCATGGTCAGGTGTGGGCTGCTTGTGCTGCTCGTCTTGGAGGCTTCCACCCTCGTGAGGACACAGACCTGCAGGTGAGAAGGAGTGGACTGTTGGCAGGCTGTGCATGCGGACAAGAAGGGAGAGGGCGGGGGAGGAAGGGCAGAGGAGAGACCGTGAGCGGCGAGCGGCGAGCGGGGAGGAGGGGAGGGGAGAGGAGAGAGGAGAGGAGGTTGCTGGGGATGGTGCCCTAACACGTCGATTTCAGTCACACATTCCCGAGCGGATACTCCTTCGACCTGTCAGGGTTGCGGAGGCCACCAGGGTAGGAACGACCTCTCCCTTTCCTCCCCTCCCCTCCCTGCCACATGCCATGTCCGACGTAGCTGACGCTGGTTCTCGCAGCGAGCGAGACTGGTATGCCGACGACAGGAATGGAAACATGTCAGTCTGAGCTCATGCTTGGAGGGAGATGTATTGTTGCTCATCTCACCTGCTAGGTACTACTTCAACATCTGCGGGGATGCCAACAATGTCCCCGAGGCATGTGTCTCCCTCAGGAAATCCATCAGCGCTCCAGCGTACGAGGTAGAGGCCCGAGGAAGAGGAGGAGAGGGCAGGGCAGGGGGAGGGAGAGGAGAAGCAGGAGGAGGAGCAGGGGAAGGAAGGGAAGGGAAGGAGGGAGCGGGAGCAGGAAGAGGAGCAGGAGCAGGAGCAGGAGGAGGAGGAGGATGGGGATGATGCTGACACGAAGACGCTGTAGGTGAGCAAGGAAGGGGACTGTTTCTGGCTTGGCCAGATGAGGGGAATGTGAGGACCTGTTGCGGTCGGTCAGATCGATGCTGACGGCGAGCAGGGAGTGGGAGCTGATCGACGAGACGGAGCCGGCAGCTGGGGTAGAGCTCTACTACTTCGATGGGGAGCAGTGCCCAGGAGGAGTAGCAAGGGACGTGAGGATTCAGCTGTTCTGCGACCCGGAGGCAGGAGTAGGAAAGCCGTTGGACTACTACGTGCTTGAGGTAGGAGTGGAGACGAGGAGGAGGGGGAGGAGGAGGAGGAGGAGGAGGAGGGAGGACGTGGTGGTGGGAGGGAGGGAGGGAGGGAGGGAGGAGGACGTGGTGGTAACGAACGGAGCGTGCGAGGAGGACTGGTCACTATAGCATAACGTGG